GATTTTTTAAATCCTTTTTTGTGTTTGCTCTTCTATCTTAGTAGTTTTGAGAGATTTATCTTCTAGATCACTAGTTCTGGCTTCTATCACTTCAATTCTACTCCTTTGCCCTTTCAGTGTATTGTCCATTTCTGATATTCTATTGTTAATCATTTGGACTGGTTTCTGTAGGTTTTGCATTGTTTCCAAAGCTGTATCTATCTTATTTGATTGTTCCTGTAGCACTTTCCTGACTTCTTCCTTATTTTTCTCATCTGCATTGTATAGGGTTTTGATACATTTTATAATCATTTTTCTGAATTTCTTCTCAGGCATTTCCAAAGCCTGCCCATCTTCCAATATGGAGTGTAGGTCTACTTCCAGCTTACTTGCCTTGCCTCAATTTATCTCGTTTCTGGACATGGGCTGATATGGTCATCTACTTCTGGTTTAGGGGCATGGCATATTCAGGAGTTATCTGTGGCCTTAATACTTAGATGGGAGTGTATTTTGGTATTTTTTATGCTTTCTGATTGCCTCCAGGTAGATGTGGTCAGGAGACAGCTTCCCTTTTCACTCTTCTTCCTGAGAAATTTCAAGATGCCACTGTTGGTCCTTGTAACATAACTCAGGATTTAATTTTTGGCCTATTTCCTTTTTAGTCTGCTTGTCCCTCTCCACAATCCCCGTTCAGGCCTTTTTCCTAGTGATAAACAGTTCAGGGCCAGGTGTGGCCGTTTGTTTTTAAGTGGGAACTGTCACTTTAAATTTCAAGGAGATCTGTGAGTATGTGTAGTAGAATCCTCTGGGGGTTGGGGTAGGGTGTCCACTTGCTCAGGCACCCCCTCTAGTCACCAGAATGGAGGTGTGCAGTGAGAGACCAATGAACAGATTAAAAAAAAAAAAATGTCCACACCTTTATCTCTGAGATTCCGTCAGGCGACGGTGGCTGCTCTGATCCTTCCCCCACTTGGTCTCGCCCAATATGGTAGCTCCAGGAGCAGCTGTCTTAAATTAGAAAGCAATGACTTTCTTGTTTCTGTTACAAATTCCCCTAGCTGTAAGCCTTCCAAGCTTCTAAATATTCCTTTATATGTGGTTCAGAGTCTGGCACCATGCCCTGAGCCTGTTTGGTCTGGTATTCTGTGTTGTTGCTGACGGAGCCCCTCACTGCACTTCCACCCAATCTGCCATGTTGTTTGTTCTCTCTGAAGAATTGATGCTTTTGAGTTATGGTGTTGGAGAATATTGAAAGTGCCATGAGCAGCCAAAAGAACCAAAAGATCTGTGTTCAAAGAAGTGTAGCCAGAGTGCTCCTTGGAGGCCAAGATGACCAAATTCATCGCTCCTACTTCGGACATCTTGTCAGGAGGGACCAGTCACTGGAGAAGGATATCATGTTTGGTAAGGTGGAGGGTCAGAGAAAAAAAGGAAGACCCCTAACAAGATGGATTGGCCAAGTGGCAGCATCAGTGGGCTCAAGCGTGGCAACAATAGTGACATTGGCCCAGGATCGGACAGTGTTTTGTTCTGCTGTGCATAAGGTCACTATGAGTCAGCACCGACTCAATGGCACTTAACAACAATAACATCCTTATCCTTTCTAGACAGCACTCTACTTCCAAGGTAGTTTTTGAAATTCTCTTTTTGATGACAAATGTAAATCCATTCCTCTTCAATTTGTCATTCTCAGCTTAAAAAATCATGATTGTCTGATTCAAAGTGTTCAATACCAGTCCATTACAACTCACAAATACTTAATCAACCTTTACGTGTTTTCATTTTTGACTTCTAATTTAAATTCATACTTTGTACAGTACATGTTCAATTACTGATGGATGTTTGCAGCTGTTTCTACTCATTTTGAGTCATGCCACATCAGCAAATGAAGACCCCAAAAGCTTTACTCTCCATGTCATATTAATCCTCAGGCAAATTTTGGGTCCCTTCAGCACGATGGGTTCACCTTCCAGCACTGCCATTCCTAAATTCTGAAGTGGCTGATTGCGTCTCCCTCCTAGTCTTAGTCTGAAAGCCCCGCTGAGACCTGTCCACCACGGGTGACCCTTATGGTTTTTGAAACACTGGTGGTATTGCTTCCAGCATCATAGCAACAAGCAAGCCACTGCAGTATGACAAAATGACAGATGAGTAGTGAATACAATCTATTACTTTAAAAATGAGGACGTGTGAGTCTTCCTCCTTCCTTTTCAACATTGCTTTAACTATTTAGGGCCTCTTGTCATTCCATAAAAAGTTGAAGGTGGGTCTTCATATTTCTGATAAAGAAGGCTGTTGGAATTTTGATCAAGGCTGCACTGAAATCTATAGATTGCTTTGGATGCTATGACACCTTAACAATATTGTCTTCCAATCTATGAACATGAAACATTGCCCATTTGTGTTCTTTAACCTTCTCAACTGTTTTGTAGTTTACGTTGTATAACTCCTTCACATCCCTGGTTAGATTTATTTCTATAGAATTTATTCTCCTATATGTCATTGTAAATGAAATTGTTTTCCTAATTTACCTTTCAGATTTATTTCTGGTGCATAGAAACCCAAATGATCTTTGCTGGTTGCCCTTGTACCCTGCAACTTTGCTAAATTTGTCTATTAGCCCTAGGAAGTTTTGTTGTCAACTCTTAGTTTTCTATACATGCTATCATATCATAAACAAATAGATTTTACTTCTTTTCCAATCTGGACACCTTTTATTTTTCTTATTCCTATGGCTAAAACTTCAAATATAATATTGAATAGAGGTGGTGACAGTTGCCACCCTTGTCATTTCCAGCTTCAAGGTAGAAGATCTTACTTTCTCCCTCAGAGCAGTTGGTGGGTTTGAATTGCTGGATCTTGCAGTTAACAGTCCAGTGTTTAACAGTGTTAAGTGCCTTCCAGTAAGTTCTGTACAGTTTAAGTGCCATTGTTAAGTTCCTTCTCATAGCAACCCTGTATAGGGTTTCTGAGGTACACCTGGTGGGTTTAAACCACCAACTTTGCAGTTAACAACACAGTGCTTATTCTATGAACCACACCAACACTCTGTCGAATCTGTTCTGAGTCATAGCGATCCTGTATAAGGTTTCTGAGTGGCTGGTGAGTTTGAACTGCCAACCTTGAGGTTAGCAGTTCAGTGCTGATCCTACAGCACCCACCAGTGCCACACAAGCTCCTTATATACGAGGGGAAATCGCTAAAAAATTAACTTAGAGAGGGACTAAAACCCAGACCACAAACGAGATGGAAGGCTGTGAAGCAGCAGCACAGTGATGTTGGAAGGTCTGGGAGAACGGGGAGGGTGCCCTGAATGCAAACGGTCCACAGTTTCCATCCGTCGGACTAGAGCGCAGGGCAGCAGCAGAAAGCTAGAATCCGTTTCCCACAAGCCAGCACTGTCCCAGGAACAAAAGAAGGGTCAGCCCTGGCATGAGTGAGCTGAGCTCGGAATGCTGCTTGCAGAGCACCACACAGGCTGGCTCCTGTGGAGAGCTGGGTCCCAGGTAACTATGTGAGTGCGCTGACCCTTAGTGAGGACCATTTAGAATGGAGCAGAGCAGACCCTAATCTGATGGTGATGTCAGGAGGCATTTATTATTTGTAGAATAAACCATACATGTCGACAGCAGCCTAGGCGCCCCACAGTGTGATGTCACCTCACATCTAAGCCCAAGTTCCTCTCTCCTGGGATTAAATACTAACTGGACGTCTTTGTGCCAAATGGCACGTACAGAAAATAGGTTAGGGAAACAGTAATAAAAAGGCGTAATGGAAATGCCAAGCCCCCTGTCGGCAATGGACATCACTTCCTGACCCTGTTCAGAGCCCCCTGTCGGCAATGGACATCACTTACTGACCCTGTTCAGAGAGGCGAGATTTACTAGCATCTGAGAACAGCTCTTTCTTCTTCACGCTCAAGGACAGCTTGATAGAACCTGGGGTTTCTTCAGAGAGCAATCATCTCCCCCAGGACACAGTTTGTCTGTTATGACAACGTAGATGGTGAGGAGCCATTTATAGTACAAAGCACCTGTGCACATAGGACGGGGTCAGTGTATAGAACCCTGTGATGCCAGAGGCCAGGAACCTGCACAGAGAGCCCAGGCCTGCAGCTGACCAGGAAAGGCGGAGCCTCAAACAAATAGTACAAGGCAGTCTGCCCACTCAGCTGCAGAAGCAGTCTGTGAGGGCGGCTGGGCATGGAGGAGACTGAGATCACGGAAGCAAAAGGTGGAAAGATCTCTGGAGTCTGAGTCCTCAGGCTGACAAAGATCCAGAATCCACTTCTTGGTTGGATCTGAGTATGATCCTCAGAGTAACGGGGTGAATGGGAAGCAGAATGACTGGCAACGGACAGGCAAAGCAAAGGGCTGGAAGCTCGTCCTCTGGACCCCGTATGAAGACAAGTAAGTTGGGGTCTGGCTGTGTGGTGGGAGCCATGTGGTGACCAAGTCTGGCCCAACAGAGTGATACTGAGAAGGGCAGAGACGGTGGTCTGCTCAGAAGCTGGGGGTGGGGGTCCAGTGATATTTCAGAGGTTCCAGGGGAAGTAGGAACAAGGAAGACCTCGATGGGGCTGGGGGCAGAGGGGAGGGTTAGCCAGATAGAAGCCTGGCATCGCCCAACAGAAAGGAGCCCCGTAGGGAAGGGCCCCAACATGCCCAGCCTTAGAAAACACATGGTCCTTTCCTGGTCTCCCGAAAGCCCAGCTTTGGTACTGTTGGGAAAGAAACCAAAGAGCGTTGGGTTCCAGTTTCTTTGCTCTCAGGCCACACACGGCTTGCCCTGAGGGTCAGGGTCAGGGCAGGCTAGAAGGGCCTAGGCTGGCACACAGATGGGTCCCCGAGGGGACTAACCCTAACCTTAGCTGGGCTCTTCAGATCACACATGGAGAGGGACTGTCTCCAGCACCAGAGGGAAAGGCTCAGGCAGACCAGCTGATGGGCTTCCCAGCCTCCCAAGAACAAAGCTGCAAAACCACAGGGGGTGTCTTGTGGGGAAGCTCTAGAGCCCATGCCTCACGTCCTCGTCCTTGACAGGAGGTAGGAGAGGATGAAGAAGACCACGAGCAGGCCTACAGCCACGCCACACAGAAGCCTCCGGTTGTCACGCCCAGACCGAGCCATCGTGGAGAAACGCTTCACACTCCCGGTGAGCAGGCCCGTCACACTGGAGAACTCGGAGTCCTGGAAGAAACCATCGGTCACATGGGGGCAGGGAAAGGGTACAGGGGCAGGGATGACGGTGATGGGAGAGTTCGGGGCAGAGACAGGGCTTGAGGAACAGCAGAAGGTAAAGGGCAGGTTGGGGTGAGGAACAGGGGGTGCTAGGCAGGGGGTGTGTAACGGGAAGGATAGGGAGTTGCAGGGATCATAGATGACCTAGGTGGGGAGGTAGAGGGCAGAGCCAAGCACAGGGGGCAAAGCTGCAGGCCCCTACCATGCCATCCAGGTATCGGTTCTGGTCCTCTGTGTCCCTGTCGATATCCAGGGCCAACTGGTCAGGGCACAGAGAGGGCAGGGTCAGCTCAGGGCCAGACACACTGGTCCCCACCCTCCCTGCCCGACATAGGTGTCACAACAAGGACAAGTGTCACCCATGATCTGCACAGCAGTTGACCATGGATGGGGCAAGGAAGTGCCCAGAATCCCCCTGCTGGCTGCCCTCCCTCAGGTTCCAGTCCCTACTGCACAGACCGATTTGAGCCGGGTGACCTTCGAGGCCAGGTGGTCGGCCATCCGCTTGTTTTCCAGATCCAGAATCTCCTCCACGGCCCCTGGGCTCTGACCTGCAGAGAGGAAGGTGGGGCTGCAGCACCCATGGATGTCCAACCGCGGACATCAGGGAGCCAGCCCTGTGTACAGGCCCAGCCAAAGGTCTCAGAAGGCCTGGGTCCCTACACCTGTGACCTGCTTGGCAGGTAGGGTCCTAACCTTCTAAGCAGGTGTGGGACTAGGTTCTGGGGTGGGGATGTTCGCTTTCAGGTAGGATGCATGATGCACCCCATAGTGCGTGTCCTGATGGCTCATCCAATGAGCACTTTCTGACGGGCTCTGCGGGGACCTACATCTGGACCAGGGGTACTAGGATCCTGGAGGGCCCAGTGACACTTCACTGGGGACGGCTGTGAACTGAGTCTAGAACATGTGACAGATGACTGGGATCACAAGGGCAGGGCTGGCTCTGCCCATTCACCGCTGGGCCAGGCAATGTGGAATTCCAGTCAATCTCTCACCCACGGCGCGCTCCCCAGGACCACACGTACAGACCCCTGGAGAAGGGAACAACCGCGCCAGGCGTCGTGGGCATTACTCCCAACCCAGTGGGAAAGGTATCCGGAACCGCTTTGCAGATGAAAACAGCGAGGCTCCCCTAGGCCCAAGTCCGTGCACTCCCGGGGCCCTCACCCAGACCAGCCTCCAGGGCAACCGCCTTGTGGCTCCAAGGAGCAGAGGAGGTGGGGGTCCCTCAAGTCCGGGACGGGGAGGCGGAATGTCAGCGCCCGCTGAGTCCTGGGAAGGACGCTGCATCAGCTCTGTCCGCCCCGCCAGGGCTCTTCCCGCGGTGTCACCTTAGTTCTAGCCGCGTTTCCCGGCGCTCACCTCGAGTCCAATCCGCCATCGTACTCAGTTCCGGTTCGAGTCTAGCTCCCCAATTCAGCTGCCATCACGGCCGCCTCCACTGACGTGGTGCTCGGGCGCTGGAAAGAACTTCCGGTCCCCCCGCCCCCGCATTGGCCCCGCCCCTTCCGCCGTAGACTCCCTGGACTTCCGGTTGCCGAGAGCGGCAGGTATGGAGAGAGGGTTCCGTGCTAGAGGAAGTGATTGTAAACTCGTATCGCCAGCGCCTGTGAAGCAATGGCCGTGCGTTCTTGAGACGGCTTGGTTGATTAATATTTTTAAGGCCAAAATCGCGGTTTCCGACAGCCATTTCACGCAGTTATTCAAACTAAAGGCGCGCCAGGCTCTAACCACTAAGAGCACTCCGGCCGTGCCTGTTGTGAAGTGCGGAAGGAGGAGCCCGAGCTGTGAAGACCCCTGCGACGGGGCGGTGTCGCCCTGCTGTGTCCCCGGGCGAGTTAGCCTGTGTGCACCTGCGCACTCAGCAAGTGTCTGTGTCATGATGTGCGAAGGAACAATAAAGTCAGCAGAAGGGACGGAGGGTGACGGGGACTTTCTTGGATGCCATCTTCCCAATTGTTAACATTTGAGCTCATCGCTGCTGCCACTAATGCCAATCCATCTCCTTGGTGGGGGGAGAGGGGGTCTTCCTCTTTGTCAGTGACCCTCCACTTTACCAAGCATGATGTCCTTCTCTAGGCACTGGCCCCTCAATATGTATGAATTATGAGAGAAGAATCTGGCTTTACTTCTTCCAACACAAAATTGTTTGCTCTTCCGGCAGTCCATGGTACTTTCAATACTCAACCACCATAACTTAACTGCATTGATTCTCCTAAGGTCTTGCTTATCCATTGTCCAACATGCATATGAGGCTATTGAAAAACACCATGGCTAGGGTCCGGCCGGCACACTTACTTCTTTGCTCTTGAAAGCTTAAGAGATCTTGTGCAACTGATTGAATACAACATTTGTTTTCTTGAAGTCTGATTCCTCATATGAATACTGATTGTGGATCTGTAACTGGGAGTGCCAAGCGCATCTCTGCCCCTCAAGAGAGGGACCTTGCGTTCTATTAAGAAAAGTCAGGTGAGGCAGGGTTTCCATAGGAGCAAAAGGTTATTCTAGGAAAGAGGTTTGCACGTGGAAACAGGAATTAACACAGCGCTTAACCCAGTCTCCACAGGAAAAAAAGAAAAAAAAAAAGGCTTAGCTGAGGTTTAAAAGGTTTGGGGGCAGGAAAAAGATCCCGTTTATTGATAGAGATAGGCAGGGATTTCTGGGAAATGAATAGTTTAGGAGGGGCCATGTGCGGCATTTCTTCAAGATGGATTCCACCTCTAAGGCCTCTGGTAGGAGCAGACGGAACTTGTTCTGGGATGTTGAGCAATAGTGGTCCTTTGGGACCCTAATTGAGACTCCTCCCAGGGCTGGCATTAGCCTTTAGCCCAGCAGAAGCTTTGTCCTTTCAAGTTATGCCTAGGGCACTAGGCAAACCAGCCCAATCTGTAAATTATCTCACAAGGAAGTAAAAAATTTAAAAAAAAAAAAAAAAGAATTTTATGAGTGGTCTTCCTTAATGGCTTTATTGTTGTTCGGTGAAATTTGCTCTCCGGTGTAGAGATACTAAATCAAATGGAAGAAATGAGGAAGTAAAAGAGCAGAACCGAAAATGTCAAAGAGTAACAGAGTCAAATATTATAGTGAAATGTGCCAAGATCTGGAGGTAGAAAACCAAAAGGGAAGAACACACTCAGCATTTCTCAAGAACTGAGGGAAAATCCAAGCCTCCACTTAGAATACTGAAGGAGTCTTTGGGCGAAACACTGAATGATGCAGAGCATCAAAAGAAGCCGGACCGGGGAGTTCCGCTGACTCCTCCTTCTTCAAGATGGCGTCCTGGCTGCAATCCGACAGGGCTCTCCACCTAGTCCAGGGAGAAAAGAAAGTTCGGCCCCGTTCTCGCAGCTTTTGTGCAGAGTTGCCATCGCTGGAATGTGTGTCTCATGAGATGTTGTTGTTATTGTTAAGTGCCGTCGAGTCTATTCCAGCTCATAGCTGGCCCTGTACAGGGTTTCCGAGGCTGTAAATCTTTACAGGAGAAGAAAGCCTCATCTTTCTCCCACGTAACAGCTGGTAGTTTCGAACTGCTGACCTTGCGGTTCGCAGCCCAATTCGTAACCACTACGCTATGGATTCTCATTATTGTCCTAGTTGCTTAGAAAATATGCCCTCAGCTGAAGCCAATCTGAAAAAGAATAAAAGCACCAACTGCGCTGACTGCCCTGGCTGCAGGCATATCCTCTCCGCCTGAGCAACAAGCCATCTCCGTACAGCTCCCAGATGACCCGGCCAAGACCACAACGAAGAAAGCCTGCTACTGGCCTGTGGAGTTTGTCGGTGGACGTCTAGAGATGTGGGCATGACCGACAAATCTGTGGCTAGTGGCGGTTGGCAGGAAACTGAAAATCCTCACACACAAAGGATGAACAAACTGATTAAATATTACCAGCAGCTTGCTCAGAAAGGGAAAGTTGAACGAGATCACAAGAAACTGGCACTACGTCGAAACTACATGCCTCTGGCTTTTTCGGACAAATACGGTCTTGGACCGAGACTTCAGCGACATCAGTACCCTTGCTGGACTTTCCCTTAAAGAGGGAGAGGACCCAGAAAGACATCGAGATTGAGCCAGCTCAGGCTCTAGATGGGAGTGGAACCTCTACCCGAAGACTGTTACACAAGGCCAGTGAATTTGACAGAGGTCACTACCCTTCAACAGCGCCTCCTACAGGCAGACTTCCTACCTAGCTGTGCTTCACAGCTGTATCCTCGTCACAAGCATCTTCTGACAAAACGGTCAGCGTAGTGATTAGGAATCGGGCTGCAAACCTTAAGGTCAGCAGTTGGAAACTACCAGCTCTCCGCGGGAGAAAGATGAGGACATCTGCTTCCATAAAGATTTACAGCCTCGGAAACCCTGTACAGGGTCGCTATGGGTCGGAACCGACTCAACAGCACGTAACAACAACAAACACTGCCGAAAATGTGAACATATTTAATTAAGCCAGAATTTAATCCAACATCAAATTCAAAATCCAACTGGTTGCTGGCAACTATATCCCAGAAGTGAGGATCGTGTCCATTCCCAACCTTGGCTACATGAAGGAGAGCCATGGGCTCCTGACTCTAACAAATCCAGTGGCGACCCTCACCCACGTGACGTTGCTGGAGTGCATGAGTGAGACCCTGAGACTATCAATAGCCCCGCTAAAGTGCTGGTGCCTCCCAAAGAGCTCCTTTTAGGCGGCAAGGATGCAGCAGCCGAATACGATGAGCTGGCTGAACCCCTGACATTATAGCCTTCAGAAAAGCCAACAAAGTGGGAATTTTCATCAAAGTTACCCCACAACGTGAGGAGGGAAAAGTGACCATGTGCTTTAAGATGACAAATGAAACATGATTTCAAAAACCTGGCAGCACCCATCTGCCCCACCAAAGAAAGTGACCAGGGCTCACTCAGCGTGTGGAGCTCAGCTTGGGCCCACTTCTTCCTTAAAAGGTTCCACTGGTAGGCAGATGCTAAAGGACAGTGTGGACAAGAACCTGTGTTAAACTATCGAAGGCACGGCTTTGTTAGGCCTTGTTTATTATCGATATACCCATACACTACTGAATCCTCATTTTTAGGCGAGTGGGGGCAAAGGCAAGGCATTAGAAACACAGGGAAACTGCTAGTTCCTCTTATCTCTTCCGTAACACCGAAACCTATGTCTCCCTCACCAAAGCCTGCACGTTGAACAACAACAGCTTAGAACCATCCCAAGAAAGGGACAGCTGTTTCTTGGAATGGTATTATGTTTGCCACCTGAAAAGTTCTGACCATACTAGCTCCCAATCTGATCTCAAAAGGATCAGAATGTTACAGGTGAAAATTAGAATGCTAACCCAAAGCTAGACCTGCTGTTAATATGAATGATCCCGCATTGGTCTCAATGTACCCACTGGTTTTTGTGTTGCATCAGATATTACCTTCAGCCTGAACATAGCCTTTCATTTTCCATCATAGTCCTCATCTTGTCATAGATTTGAATTTGGCAAAAATAAAAGAAAAAATGGTCAAAATGTCTTTAGCTTTCTGATGACTGGAACAACCTGTGAATTCAGAAGGCACTCTCAGTGAACACCGAACAGGGCACTGTTATTCAGGGATTGCTCTTAAAAATATGGAACTTTTCCTTTTAAGAAGAATTTAAGAAGCAAATAATTACATGTCATGTCAAGAGGGTGGCAAATACTATTCATTTAAACATTATAATAATGAAGGAATAATACTGCCATATGTTGGCAATTTTTTTGTCTTTACCCCTACATCCTCTCTGCTCGATCTCTTTAACTCTATAAACTATTCAGAGTATTTGGAAGTTGGATAGAGTCCAAAGAAAACTTGAGTGAGCAGGTTCACTCCAGGATGCAGAAAGCATGCGATTTAAAAAAAAAAAAAAAAAAAATTTTGAAGGCATCATCGACACTAACGTTCTTTCTATTGATTTGAAGGAGAAATTGATAGTTACCTCTTGAATCCAAAACTGAATATGAAGGGACCATTTCCCCGTCCTGAATATTTTGCTTTTATCCTATGGTATATCAAGCAAGACCGTTTTGATTGTAAACCATAAAGTAGTTCAGCAGAAAGCCCAGAAGGTTGGTTTTCTAGCATTCATGCTGTTTCCCTTGGTACCCTGGAGTCAGGTTGCTAACCTTAATTTCTGTACTGTTTTCTGATGAGTCTTCACAGAGTGTATAACCAGCTGCACCACATTTTCAGTAAATGTTAGCAAGAGGCCAACAGATACTTGAAGAAAAGAAAAATGTCCTCTTTGCCCTGGTTTTGTTTTTAATTTGAGGTTTTTCATTTATATGTATTTGTAATCTAGAACTCAAACAGGACAAAGTAACATTTCAGCTTCCCCTTGAAAGAGAAAAAGATATCGGAAGCCT